CCATGTTATGCTGTCTTTTCGTACACAATCACCTTCTTATTTACATTTTTATTTCTCAAATGAATAAATAAGGTACGAGAGACTCAAGTGAAATTGAATGATGACTTCTGATTTTTTTTTGTCTTGTCCGAGAGATAAAGATGGACATATGTCCATGAAAATAAAGGTTAATCCACAACACATATTTGCTATCTAATTTAATGAGGAACTCTGACCTGTGAAGTTAAGCTGACACTTTTGATTTTCTACTCATTAAATGGTTTTTATATTGAAATTTTCACGTAATAAGAGATATTGTAGCTGACATTAAGTGTAATTCATGATTAAATTAATCCTCAACTTGGCAGAAAGTTATAAGCTGTGGATTATTTTATGTGGTAGTTTGCATAATCGATATCGTTGATGGTGTTAATCTACTGCAGTGATGTGGTGGATTTTTTTTTGATGTGATAATGACTAAATTGTAATGTTGATGTGAAATTTTATGATCCGCATATCCCGTTCTTTAACAAATTGAAGGTTTTGAAGGTGTTCTTATGGCTAGGTTGCATGCAATTGCATTTATATTATATTATTTCTTAGAGAATCCAACACTTGTTCATATGTTATACTTAATAGGGTTTGATAACTAGCTTTGTTACTGACTAAACCCGAAGGGCAAGAATGATTAGCAGTTGAAACTGAATTCTAGTTCTAATAGCATGTTCTTCTTTGAGACTACATTTTAAACGATCATTACAACTTGGTACATTTTAAAAACGAATCTTATGTTTTAGGGGTCGTTCACTTATGACGTGTAACATTAGGTGAGGGGGGGTAAAAGTCAAAAAATTTGTGACACATTGTGACAGGGGAGAGAGAGGTTCAGGAAATTTGCGACATCCAGTGGTTTTTGTTTGTGTCTTGGATTGGACGTCACAAGGGGGGGGGGGGGGATATTGACATCTATGACAGTTTTGTGACAGATGAGGGGAGAGGGGTCTTAATGGACGTCATAAGTGAACCACTTATCATTTTTAACAACGTTTGTTAAATGACTATACTTTAAGTGTAGCCCAATTCTAAACCACCAGAGTACCCATACTGAGCCATAATCTTAGAAAGAGCTTCTTAAACTATTGAACACCGTCCGAAACACTTAAGACATACTTAAAATTAATTTATCAATAAATATTAAGTTCAAACATAGCTTTTAAGAATTCGGTACCTTACAAAATCTTCCATATAGCAACTAAGGCTAACCTATACACAACTAAGTCATATCCCAAGCAACTGACTCCTCAAATCAGTATTCTGCAAAATAATCTTGATTGACACATGCAAAATTAAATTCATTAAATTTTAAAACTGCAACCACACCCCAAAAATTCAATACAAAATAACCAATAGAGCTTCATACAGCTCAATATGGACACATAACCTCAAATTTTATGCATATTATGCAAATTTATTAAAACATCATACCGAAAAATGCTCTCAAGTTTCAAATTAAAAGGTAATGTCAACCATCAATAGTTATAACAACCACATCATGAGTCATGACAATAAAATTATATATGGTCTTTATGCTCGACCGAAAACAAATAATGATTATTATGTATAAGACATAAAATGCTCGATTATCATAGAATTATCATTAAAAGTCATGTCGACGAAAGTGGTGAATGTTATTAAGATGTTAATTGTGTGCATAAAGCAAATACATGACCGAATGAGGACCTATGCGCCAGTTTTTTCGAGTGCATTATTTACATCTCACACATTTTTTCGTTAATGTTAATTGATAGAAGAATTTCAAGTGACTTCCAATGTTAAAGTATAGCTGAATGTTTCATCATTATGTTAATGAACATGGCATGCGTATTAATATATTATTATTTGTTCATTCCTTTACCAACATCAGCTAGATTTTTCGAGTTCTTACATGTGGAATGTCAAAAGTAAATAAAGATACAATAATCATAATAATCTTGATAATGATGATGATGTTTATCATTATAGAGACTTGACATTATCATAAAATTTAATTATATTAAAATTGAGTCGAATGATGCTACGTTCTTTGAGTTTCTCATATGCTTAGTCGACATTTTAAATACTTAAGAGGTACATTTAGTAGGTTACATGCTTTGGGTGGCTATAGAAGTGATGTTAGAAGACAAAATGAAGTAGATTTGATCAAGTTTTAAAAAACTAGAATTTAAAAATTAATAAAAAATTCAAATCAATAAATTAAGAAACCTACATACAGAATGATACATGCCAAACCCAACCCCCCGCAGGGGGGGGGGGGGGGGTTGAGGGAGAAAACCTCCAACGTAAACAGAAATTTCTTTATTTTGCTAGGGTTTTTTTATGAAAAAATTACAAAAATACCCCCCCCCCCCCCTTAAAATTTTTCAATACAAAAAAATTTTTGTCCCACCCTCTTCAAATTCATGGCTATACTCCTGCCATCCCCAATCTATAAAACAGCATATATGCACCCAAGAAGCATCCACTAAGGAAGCATAAGTACTTAACATACAACATTCAATTTTTATTATCGAAAATAAAAGTGAATGGACATAAAATGAGAGAGAGACACACAGAAACCGGTGAACCTTAATCGTTTGTCGATTCTCACAAACAGGCTCTTGCACTTGTCTCTTTAAATGCTACATACTTAACACATAACATGCGGTGAACAGAATCATAATCGAGAAAAAGCCTTGACATTATTTTTGCGCCTTTTTCTTCTTATTTTCACATGCTTCTGATGAGCACTACATGTTTGTTAAATTAAATATTTATGATGAATGGAGTGGAGTGGATGTGAAGGGAATGAGAATTGAACTTTTGTGGGAATTTCGTCAGATTTATTGCAAATTATTACCTAATAAACTCAACTGTTAATAGAGATATTTGTAAAAGACGGAAACATTTTGTGCGATGACCAAAAAATAATCAAAATTGAATTTGCGCCAACGCATTCACTGCCAAATTAGAAGGATTGAACATTATTGAGAAATTAAATCGTTCCATATTGTTCAAGATTAACTAATTTAATCATCTTTTTATAGAGATTTTATCCATTTTTTTAAATTTTTTATGGAATTTTCATCAAGTTATAACTAGCAATCTAATAAATTAGTTGTGAAAGGAGATGAATTTCAGATTTGGATGTTGAATTATTCATTGATGATGATAGAGATGCGTAATTGTTATATTATGAAATTTTTGTAAGGCCTTTGTGTGCAAAATTAAACTTTAACTTGAGATTTTCTTGTCATTTTTGCGATTAATTTTTCAAAATGTTCTGAATTTTTAAAAACTTGCTTTTTTTGGATTTTTTGAACTATTTTTAACTTTTGACTTTTCGAAATTTTTCAAAAAAATTTTAAATTGAATGATCTTTTGACTTTTTTGAAATTTTTGTCTTTTCTTTAAAAATTTTGAATTATTTTTGAATTGTTTTAAATTTTGACTTTTTTGAAATTTTTGAATTTTCTCTAAAATTTTGAATTACTTTTGAAGTGTTTTAAAAAATTGACTTTTTTGAAATTTTTGATTTTTTTGAAACCTTGACATTTTTTTTTGAAATTTTTGAGAGTTTCAAAAGAGATTTCAAATTTTTTTTAAAAAAAGTCAAAAATTCAAAAAAAAATAATTTTAACAAAAATTTCAAAAATTCAAAAAAAAATTTTAACAAAAATTTCAAAAATTTCATAAGTTTCAAAAATTTGAAAGAAATTTCAAAAAATTCAAAAACAAATTCAAAAATTTTTAACCTTAAACTCAAAATTCTATCAAAACATCCCTACAAGGACTCAATACTTTATCAATTAATGAGCAAATTTATATTATTATCATCATAAGTAAAATTATATGAGTCATAAAGAAGAATTACAAGTTTGATGACAAAATAATTTTATAGCGCATCTCGTCTCACTCCTTTTTTATGATAATGACAATAATGATGATTGATGGATGTTAAAGAAAGTGTCATGGAAGCATTAAATACCGATAAGATTCTCTCCCAAGTTATAAAAATGTCAATAATTTCTTGCAGATCGCCATAATTATGAGCAAATAGCATTTTCCATCATCTTCAATGGCAATCATAATTTAATTGAGAAGCGATTTACGCTCTTTAAAAACATCCTGAGTCGACGTTACAAAAAAATCATTTTACACAAATTGCACTTCATTTAGACTTAACATCGACATTCATTAACAAAGTTTTTCCTTTCTTCGCAATCTCACTTCTTTTTTGTGCTACAATGTCATTAATAAGATGAGTGCAACTTTTTGAATGAATGCAATGAATGAAATGTTTATGTGGATTTAAACATGCAAAGGCATGCATTGAACTAATTGAGTTTTTGAATTAAATGCTAAAGAAATTTTCAAAAGTCATGGTTGGATGCTGGTTGTCTGTCAGTTCGTCTGGTTCAAGCTAGTACAGTGATGAACAACCTATGTGCCGCGGCATGGTTTAATCCTGGAATCGAACGTTATGGCAAGAGTTCGAAGTCGAGTCGAGTCGACCTCTTTTTTTTGAACCCTCCCGACTTCGAGCTCTGGCCATAACATACGGTTCGTGGGATTTCACCATGCCGTGGCACATTAATTGTCCATCACTGTAGTGGTGACTGAATTAACTTGACTCGACTTCGAGCTTTGGTCATGGCCAATCTTAAAAGGGTGCCATTCCACAAAAAAGGTTGTCTACCACCGAGCTAGTAGATTAGCCGAAGGTATTTAAAGTTATAACCTATTCCAGTGTCCACTCAAGGTTAGATTTTTGAGAAATCACTTTTTCCTCAACTTTTTGCCACTCTCATCCTAATAGACTTTATTTTACAATTTTCTCAATGATTATAAACTAGAATAATGCGCTCACAAGCTACATACTAGCAATAATCTTCACTTTTTAATATTAATTGCGGCGATGAGCAAAGCAGGTGAAACTTTTTAATACATTTTAAGTATATATTGTAAGAAATAACACTACTCACATTGTGAATCGCTGATTTATGGGGTATAATTCCAATATTTAATATCGTGTTCAATAAAACGAAAAAAAAACTTGCATACACAATGAAAAGCAATAACAAGCACTGTATTTTATATTATATGCAAAAATGTGTCAATCACACAAAAGATTTAATAAAGTTGCATTTGTTGCAATATTTCTTTTTTTTATTGTTAACACTTTTTTACACAAATTTTAAACACAATTCTTCCATAATCAACACATTTATTTGTGGACTTAATTGATCATTTGCATATTCCTTTATTTTTCACATTCAATCACTTATTTTTAATTTATTTCATATATTTTATGAAGAACTTCACTCTTCGGCTTAAGTATGATTTCATTTATAATCCATAAAACACTTCCAACCTTTTAACTTTAGTATAACCTCTTGAGGTACGAAATCTATACACAACAGGTAGGTTTAAAAAAATATTGTACACAAAATTACTCGATCCTCTGTTTTTATTTTGTTATTCTTTTTACTGAATGAAAAGTCGGCTTTCATATACAAAATAAAAAAACACACGTCAAGTTAATTCAAAGTTGAAACCTGAACTGAGGTGAGGGAATGTTTTTTTGTTAAAGTCAATGTGAGTTAATGAGTTGAAGAGAGAATTGCGCAACAGACTTAAGAAAGACATGACGAATGAGAGTGGAATGGGAGAGGATGGAAGGAGATTCTCTTTTGGCACTAAGTCTAGTTCTGCGTTATCGACAGTTGCTATAAAAAAATTTTAACTTCTATTTATTGAGAGGATGATCAAGTCAACTTGATCATGACTTAAATTGGTAAGTACGAGTTGTTGCAGAATTTGTGATTTTTTGTAATAATTTATTAGCAATTTTGATTGATCTAATTTTTAACTTTTTCTACCATGTTTCCCCATTCTTCCCATTTTCCCCATTTTTTTCCCATTTTTTACCATTTTCCCAACTTCAATATGGGAAACTTTCCACAAAAAAATGGGAAAAATGGTAAATTTCTAATCAAAATTTTGACATGGAGCATCCACTTGGCATCCACTTGGAAATTGCTTCCAAACAGCAGCCGCTTGTTTCTAATTGTACTATCAATCCGGTTTTCGGAGAGATTTTTAATCTGAGATTGTTTTAATAACCTTATCCCAGTAAAATGGTGGTACGAAAGAGCTCTGGTCGCAGTTTTAACCTTATGGAAATTCATTAAAAATTATTTAAGAAGCTGTTAACCTACCCCATTCAACACATACAACCGCATTCTAGCTACGATCCTGAGTTAAAATTTTGGTTTCTGAGAAACATCGATCATCACTCACAAATGGATGTGCTTCAATATGCATTCATAATAAATATCATTAATAATATATGCTGATATTACATGATGAAAATTCTCACATCATCGTATGAAAGCCATTTTGGTAATAAAATGAACACAAACAAGTTTTGATGTCTTTTCAGGAGTCGTTCTGTTGTGACGTTCTTTAGTTTTGGTTGAAGAAGAGTCAATTAAATTCTGAAGTCCCAAAAAGTTTTGTAGTTTTTTTTTTAAATTGACACTCTAAGCCAGTTTATAGAGCTCTTCAGGTGACCTTAAAATTATTCAATATTCAAGATTAGGGTCGGGTACTCCAGGCTGTCTCGAAACCGGGCCCAGTTTCTAGACATACAAAGCTTTTGAATTCTTAGAGACGGTCTCATGACAGCTTTAAACCGGCCTGTTTGTATTACTAGCCACAATACCATAATCAAGCAAAGGCAAAAAAGCACTCTGGAGTTTAAAAAATGTTTGTTATTGACCAGGGTAGGATCCTGGTATGTAGCTTTGTAGCTTTAGAGCTTGTAGCTTACGGCTTTGTAGCTTTTGTGGCTTTGAAGCTTTGTAGCTTTGTAGCCTTGTGGGTTTGTATAGCTTTGTAGCTTTGTAGCTTTAAAAACGGGGACTTATCTGAAAAGTAAAGGGAGTAAAGGCCCTTTACTAAAGGATATCCATAAAATCATATCAGACTTCTCTAGGTCTAACATGACATATCTATTGCACTCAAGATTCTTCGAGTATGTCAAAGAAGCCAAAAAAAGGTAAATTTGTTATGTCATCAAACTTGACCAGAATACACAACCAATAACCACCCACACAGTCTGACAAACTGAATTCCAATCCAAAAAATTCTCCCATAGACACCAAAAAAAAATAAATTTTATTCATATCCAAAATGTAAGAAGATGAAGAATATCACACATGAGCGAAATAAAGCAGCGTGAAGAGAATAAAATTGTGCACAAGAAGAAGCTCTTCTCATTCTTGAAACAAATGTAAATCCATTAGGAATAAATTGAGGAATCAAATTTCGAATAAAAAGACGAGTGAAATGAATGACTGACGATGAATATTTCTGGCAAAAAAATTAGAAGTTTCTTCTTCCTTACTGCTGCTCATAAATGTATGGAAAATGTGAATAATTCTGAATGTTCGTCTACTCCTCCGGATTGCACAATCACATCATAAACAAATTGCTGCTGAATTAATTTCAGAAAGTGATTTGATGAAGCGGGAGAATAAAGAAGAAGAAGAAGATCATTGAGAACGTATGTATGGCATATAAATGTGATGAATATGCGAATGCTATGCTCGTGTACATGCCAGCGATTGGTAATCAATAAATTCAACTCAATATTTTATGTTGAATTAATCAGCAACAAAGTTTATAAATATCACAACGAGGACTGATGTGCGCCGATGAAATTCTTTTTAATTTCAATTAATGAAGCTGCCAATTAATTTGGAATTTATTTTTGAGAATTGGTTTCTTATTACTTTGATGAGTTCTGGGTCAGTTGGTGTAATGTGCCTTACGCCGAAATATTTTTTAATATTGAAAACTTTTATGTGCTTACTTCAGTTCAGCAATATTTCGTTATTAATGAATGGGAATATTTAGAGAAAGGATTTAATTGCATTTAAAAGTCCTGTATTAGCTGATAGGCTTGATGGCAAAGCCTTTTTGTTTTTCAGAATAATTTATCCAATATTGATACAGCGAACATGAGTTCGAGATTCTACAGAAGGTTGAGATTAGCTTTAATTGAGACTCCTAGACATTATCTGGAATCGAACCCGGGTCATTAGGGTTGGTTGGCCGACACTCTAACCACCAAGCCACTGCTGCTTTTTCGCTGCTATTTTAATTGAGACTAACTTTAGACTAAGTTTGTACCCGAATGCTACAAACAAGACTCAATGTTTTTGATATAGAAACATCCTTGCAACGCTCTTGTATTGAAGTTTAAGTGATAAAAAACTCTGACCAGCGAAAGGATCTGACATAAATCTATAAACCTACTTACGGCTCAAAGTCAAACCAATTGAACTAATTTCTGTTTGGGGTTGTTCACTTATGACGTCCAACATTTAAGGAGGGGGGGGGTCAGGAAATTTGTCACATTTAATGTTGTTGAGTTTATGATTGGATGTAACAAGGCGTGGGGGGGAGGGGAGGGTTTTGACATCTGTGACAGTTTTGTGACAGGGTGGGAGGGGGTATAAAAATTTTGATTTTTGATGGACATCATAAGTGAACGGCCCCTTTTGTAAAATTATTCAAACCCCTACCTCCAGATATACTTCTGAACACTCCAAAATCCTCATCACAATCAACATTATAATAATTTGCAAATAATGATTATTTTCCGTCTCTTTTGCAGACAGCAAATAAGCTTATTTATGGCACAATAATGACAAGAACAACAACAAATTCTTATTAAAATTCAAGACCAATGTTGATATTGCTGTTTACATATTTTTATATCTTGATGATAATCACGCATACAATTGACGATGACAGTTCAATACATTGTCAGTTAAGTTGTTGCTGACCGGAACAAAAAAGTTTGAAGATCTGCAAATAATTTTCAGCATAAATATTTGAGCCTGACTCCTTTAATCTATGCTTTAAGTAGATTATATTGAGCACTTTCTGTTGCTATGTGTCAAGCTTTATTAGTATTCAGTTAAGACATAAATATGGATGATTGTGGCATTTTTATGGTAATCTTAATGTGAATCCTTGAGACTTCTTTTTTGGTCAGACTTTAACCTACGATAATTCCATCTGATGCAATCGTTTTGGTTCTTCTCTTGTTGTCACGTCGATGTGAAAAATATAGTAAGACTTAATCATAATAATTGAAGTAGTTTGTTCTTTAATGTGATGATTGATATTATGAGATGTATGTGCGTAGCCAGTCATTTTTAAAGGAGATTCTTGGTTATTTAAATCGTGTATCTTCAATTGGCTGTAATTTACTGTCGTTTGACCGGACGTAGATTTGTAATGTTCAAAATGATGATAAACTAAGCGTATCTAGAAGGCAAATATATCAAAAATGGCACAAAAGTTAATTGTAAAAATAGAAACAAAGCTCAATTTGCACAAGAGCCATTTTCAGAAATAATTTTTGCAACATTCAAAGCTTGATAGGTTCAAAGTTTCATTTTAATTAAAATTCACATTCCTTCAGCAGTTGCATTTTCAATATTTTGTAAAATTACTGGAGGACTTGTTGGGATGAAAATTAATTAAAACTTTTCCCAGGAAATTCTTTTGAAAGATTTAAATAAATTGGGGGCAGTTTTTAAATGACGTCAATCAAAAATCAACCCCTTTTTTATAAAATTTTCAAATAAATCAAATGAATCATGTCAAATGCATTTTCTCAAAGCTCTTTTAAGGAACAGCCACTCAAATAATGGATTTCTTTAAAACAAAACTCAATGATATCCACCCACACAACTAGCTCAATCTAATTACTTCCATGTATTTAAATCATCCAATAAATTTCCCATACAAAACTTTCTAATTAATAATTTTCATTTCAATTAATTACCAAAAAAAAAGCAAAATGATCTCATTTTACTCGCAGAATAAGAATTAGTTAAAAAGTAAGTTTAAGTAAAGTGAGAGTAATTTATATTCATTACATCAAGTGAAATTATTTCAACAAGATAGTATGCAAAAAGAGCACGATTCCTTCCGTCCCAAGCTGTGCTTGAAAAAATAACAGAAAGATTTATATGCTGTTAGATGTTACTTCTTTTATTGCAGCTTGGGACTTTTTTTTTTGCTTCCTTTCAGCATAAATATTCATTTTGAGTGGAGAAGCATCTTCCTTTAACACAAATTATAAAATGTTGTGAATGTTCATTAATTTTTTTGGAGGTAAATTCTCATAGAAGTTTGTTATCTGCTTTTTTAGGTGAGTAAGTGAGCGTATGTTGAGGAAGGTTGCTAAATGGCTAGAGAACTTGGCAAAGGATTGGATGTTTATGGCAGTTCAAAGGATTTTTAGGCTCCTTAGCTTCTGTTGACTATAAAGTTCGTAAAAATACACATTTCATAAAAATTTGGACATAAACAATGCTGAGTTCTAAAGCTTTTTATTAGATGAAGCTTAGTTTTTATATATTTTGAAGACTTAATCAATTTAATTGGATGGTTCAAACCATCAAAATGTCCCTAGTTATGACTGTTATATGTGGAAGAAGAGTATTTAACAGAATCTGGCATGATTGGATACTGGACAGACGCTTAGTCAGGGAGGGACAAATCCCAATTCGGAATCAGAAATTTCTTCAATTTTTCAACGATTTTTATGAAAAATTCGCAATACCCTCTTTAAATTTTATGAAAAAATTTTTGAAACCGATCACCCCCCCCCCCTTTCTTTCCTCAAAATTACTGCCTACGCTCATGTTCCTAGACATCGAATTAAATCATAACTTTCTGGTCTAATGTGACTAGCAGGCGTGTAGCCAGGGGGTGGATTTGGGGAACAAATTCCCCCTCGTCTTGAGAAATTTCTTCATTTTGCTGAACAAATCGAAAAAATAACCCCCCCCCCCCACCTAAAATTACAAAAAAAATTTGTCCCCCCTCTTCAAATTCCTAGCTATGTCCCTATTGCCTAGTTCAACAGATTCTAACCTAAAAGCATAAAAGCGCTTCATTTCACAAACTTCAATTCCAAAACAATCTCCCCAAACTTTTAAATTTTTCTCCTTCACCACTCAAAAGCATATTTTATCTTCCTTTCCTTCTAAAATAAATACAAGAAGTGAGATGTCAACCGTAAGTAATTAATTTTTTTTGCTCTATCTTTCTGGTGCTCCTATCTCAACAAATTTTTCCTTTTCGTGCATTTTAATTAGCATGCTTTTTTCCCCATCAAGATTGTGAAAGAGAAAAAAAAAAATAAAAAAAAAAGGAAAAGAAATCTTGATAAGATTTCCATTTACGATACGAGGACATTTTATGCATGAAGAATTTCTTATTTCTTATTTTGATGTTGTTTGCTGATAAAAAACTGTTTTTAATTATGTCACATGTACTCACTTATTTATGAGTATTAATGAACTATCTGGGAGATGTGGAAGTTGCATGGTTGATAAATGAGGACTAGCTAGAAGTGAGGGATTGGCGGGGGGGGGGGGGGGAGGTGTTTGTAAGTTTAAGTTTTTTTTCTCAAAAAACCCTAGCAAAATTGACGAAGTTATTCCAAAAAGGAGAGTTAACCTCAAAAATAACCCTAGCTACGCTCATGTGTTGAAAAGAGGAACTTCATGAAAGTTTTAGAAAAACTGTAGGCAGAACTGTAGACCTGTGATGTCATAGTAGAGTGGAATCTAGTGTGTTGAGGTTTATGTAGGCAATTTGCCAAAGATCACTGTAGCTGAGTGGTTTGGAGATAGACCAAGAACCCGCAAATATCTTTTTCAAGCAGAAGCGGGTTCAACTCTCACCAAAAGCCGATCTATAGCTCTTAGAAGCTTATTTAATCCATATCCCGAGTAGCACTAGTTGGTTAATCGATCAGAATTCCGGCACCAAGCTGATGTGACTCTGGCATGGTGCTGATTTAAATCGAAGCCAACACCACGCTAGAGTCATGCCAGCTCTGCTCCAAATGTCTATTCTATTAACCAACTTGTGTTACTCGGGTATGTTGTTATTGACGGAGTATAAAGTGTGTCATGATGCAAAGTGTTCCTGAAAAAACCTTTTAAATCCTCAAAAAAAAAATAATTTTGGCCTGAAAAATCTTCAAAATACTCTCAAAATTTATATTTTTTGTACAATTAATTTTTTTTATTAAATTTCTCTGTTTTATATTTATTTATTTATACATTCGTTTAGTATTTAACAATTTCATAGAAATATCTTCATCAAATTTATTCTATCTTCTTTAATTTCTTCACTTTTATTTATGTAAATTATCGTCTTTATATTCATCATTTATCCTATTTAATTTATTTATAATTTTTTTGTAGCTTTTTTCATCGTGATTTTCATCACTTTTTGCTCCTCGATTTTTGCATCCACCGTGTTTGTTTAAGTTTCTATCTTCATCTTTCATCCTCATTAAATTTCTAAAGTTTGCTTAAATAATTTAATTTCTATTTAATTTTTATGCACATTTAAAAAATGTTTTTTTTTCTTCTGTTTTTCAATGCAAATTTAAACAGCTTTTGAAGTTTGTTTAAATTAATTTTAAAATTCGGTTGATTGATTTTTGTAATTTTATGGGAAGGAGTGTTTGAGTAATCGAAGGATAATTTTTACGTTACATAAAATTCCAACAGATCCCAAATGTAATTAAATTATTTAACCATAAAGAAGACTTTTAATCAATAACTTATCATGCCATCAACATCAAAAAACAGCAAAGCTTGTAGAATTTTTGTTAAAAATAAATTAAATTACGGGCTTCTTTTGACTTTTCATGGAAAAATTTTGTAAGCTGCTAAATTGAATAAAAATGTTCACGAAATTTGCATCAAATTGAATTTTACTACACATTTGAAGGTTGGAGGTTGTGTTGTGTACGAAATAATTTATGTCAAAATTAATCCAATGAGATGAATATCTTGCAGAGATGCTAGACTTAAAGCTTACTAAATTTTGGTTTAATTATTAAATTCCTTGAATTTAAAAGGTCAAGCGTGAAATTCTTTGAGGAAAATTTAAATTGGAAAACTTATAAATTTTGAAATTTTACTTCAATTTAATAATTTTGTTGTTCAAATAAAGTTCAATGGTCAAAGGAAATAACTTTTTGCTATTATTCAACCTGGCTGCAAGGCATTAATGCTTAATTTGTTAAAATAATTTGAATATTCAATTTTATGGTTCATGTTATTGAAGTACAAAAGAAAGTTCATTGCACAAGATTGTTTATACAGATTTTGTCTGTTCAAAAGATGTTTTAAGCAAGATGCTCGATGAAAACTGCACAATGAGTATTTCTAGAACTTTGAATTTTAATAAATTAATTTATAAATTTGAAAAAAATATCTCAAAAAATTCATAAATTCAGGAAATTGATTCAATATCGTTGTTAAAAAATATCTGATTTCAAAAGAAGTTCTTAAATTAATTTAGGAAACGTAGCTTGAGATTTCTATTGAAATTCTCTTTCTGAAGAATCTTGTCAAAAATCACGACAAATTCTTCTGAAAACTTTTTGCTCAAATTGTTCGATTTTATGCTTTCAATTAATTAAGTAATTGTTCAAGTATTGAGCGTCAAACAGACTAAGTTGTTGAACACTTTCTCAAGCGAGGCAATTGACAAAAGCCCTAACAAGAATTCGTCAATAGCGCCACACAAGGCTTTAAATTTGCGTTTATATGAAAGCTACTTTAAAGCGGCTTCTATTTGTCGTAATTTTTGCAATTAAGGTTGATAAGTTCATTTTCAGTTGCCTGACAATGTCAACTTCCTCAAATGATTTTTTCAAATTAAAAACTTACAAAAATTTTCCTCCAAAATTAAAAAGCCTTCAAAAGAAGTTGAAAAAGAAAACAATTTTGTTTCAAATTTTGGTAAGAAAAAGAAGCCAATGAAAAGTCAAATGAGATTTGAGCAACAATCTTTATGTCCTTGAAACATTCTGATGAACATTGAGGTTGAATTTTAAATTAACTTGTCGTCATGAAAGCTGTTTCATTTTGTATTGAATTTAATTTTGAAAATTTTCAGTACTAAATGTACTGTTTTTCATTATTTTTTTGATTTAAAAACATTTTTCATTTAACTCGGAATGCTGGGGTCCTTGTCAGGGGTGTCAAGAAATTTACTAGAACAACCAATCACCTCATCACCCAGCATTTAGTACACGGTTTTTAAAATGAATTGAGTTAAATTCTTATTTTTTTTAAATAAAAAAATAATATTTATAAAACCCTAGACCCCCCATTATGATCGTTTTTCCTGACTGTAAACTTCAGATGATTTGTTTTTTTTTTTAAAAATTCCAATCAAGGGTGCAGAACTGATCAAAATGATCAAAAATGATCAAAAATTATAAAGAAATGATCGAAAATGATTGATAAATTTCAAAAATATTCAAAAATGGTGAAAATGATCAAAATTAATCAAAAAATCAATTTATTTAAATGGTTAAAATCTAATTTGTCAGTTTCGCTTCCTTGATTTCAATAAATTCTTGAAAATTTATTTAATTTTAAATTTCTTTCCTCAAACATATCACATTTAAAAACCAGATTTTTTACTATTTAATAAAACTTTTTACACCAAAAAATTTATTTTATTATTTTTTTTATCAAATTTTCTTTTTAAATTGCAACAAAATGAAAACTTTTCTACAATTTTTGCAACAAAAGAGAAGAAGAAAAAATTTAAGCATCATTCCTTCATAAAATCAAACAATGAAGTGGATAGAATGGAAAACTTTCATGTTTAAAAAACATATTTTACAATTTAAAATTCAAAACTTTCGAAATTTATTGTCATTAAAAATATTTTTTTTTCTGCTACAAATTCTATTAAAAATACAATTTTTATAGCTTTTTCTTCTCTCTTGTTCTTGACTTTTTAATAGAAATTTTCATAGGAAATTTCTAATTAAGCTTCATGTCTAGATTCTTGTTGTTTGTTTTGGGAGGATTTTTGGGGGGTTTGGTGATGTCTTGAGGTGTATTTGTGATTTATGTTGAACTTTTTGAATAAAACTTTCAATATTTCATCAAATTTTAACGCCGACACGCTTCAAATCCTCCAATAAACCCCCTCACATCCTGCATACTTACAAATTCAATCCTACATCATCATTTTCATCCCTAACGATACCAAACATAAATTCACCTATCACCTTCACCGCTGTCCTCCAAACAAAATAAATTGATTTATTGTTGACATAAGTAAGGCAATTAGGAATAAATTTCGTAAATAATAATTTTGCTTCCACGTCTCCATGTGATGTCCGCTATGATGTAGCTCGGCTAGGCTTTCTTCTGAAACAAAGTTTATCAAATTGCAGTTAATAAGCTCACATGACAGATAAATAAATAAATTCCATAGAATATTGAGCAGTAAATTTATTTGAAAGCAATGATTATCAGCATGTAGTTTGTGAATTTCGGGTTAATTTTTGCTTTGTAGAGTAGAAAATTGGTAAAAATTAATACGAAATTTTTGTGGCTTTTTTTGAACGTCGTTGCAGGTTCCTTTTGTTATTAGTCATAGAAATTCACATGAATTTGATATTTTTGGTTTATTAATTTAATTAAATGATATCAAGCTGTTTAGATAGATTTTGGGTTTTTCCAAGGGCATGTCGTAGGTTTTACAAATGAAAAAGGAGTCAGAGGCAGGCTGTTTAGGACACTATTTCACACTGAAGAGTTCAAGGCCCCGTTAGAGCAGTGATGGTTCACCCATGTGCCACGGTACACTAGTGAACAAACCGGTACTGTGTGCGGTTTTGTAATTTTGTGCCATGACAAAAAAGGTTTGGAACTACTGCTTTAGACTCCTGTAAGTACCAAAGTGGAAATGCTCGTGAGATTTATGAACCCAATTGTTTTAATAGTTTAAGATGGAGTCGGTTGTCAGGGTTGCACAAGGCCTTCTCCCTTAGTCGCAGTTGAATTTTATTTAAACCGGAGTAAATTGATTTTGAATTCTAAGGTAAGGTCCTCAGAAGAGCCTTAATCTGTTCATTGCTTCCTATTTTCTAACCTCAAATTCAAAGTCACTATCAATTTTTGATGAAAACCCACAAATTGCATCCCAAAAACCAGAGCAAACCCACAAATTACATCCCAAAACCATCGCAAACTCATCACTACATTTATAAAACTGTCTCAACCTTCAATATCCTCAAAAGCTTTCAATTACGTTAATTCAGTTCCATCTTCTCATTCCATTTATATTATTACGAATCTCATCTATAAGCTTAGAGCTTTAGGAATTAATATATTCAACGTAAACAATAAAAAAAATTATTTTATCGACGTTAAATTTATTGTATTTAATTTATGTGCGAAGATGTAAGAGACGAGAGTGGATGAGACACAAATGAAGGGTAAAAGTTCTGCTAGAAAAACAAACAATTAACTGATTTCGTGTGTATGTATCTTGTATCCAGCGCTATATTTGTTTTGCGTTTTGCTGGCGACATTTTGGGACAGTTTTTATTTGTTTATGGTCAATAATAAAAATGTATTCATTATTCAGTCGAGGATAAAGAAAAGTTTGAGAACTTGGAAATATTTTTTTTTATAATCATTTACGAAGAAATGATTCGATGCCTGAAAAAAAGAAGAATAAAGTTTCTTTCATAAACTTTGTAATGTTACAATGTATATTTATTTTGTATTTCCTTCTGTCCATCTCATAACCTTGAATTTCAACAGAAGTTTGCTATATTTTTTTGTGGAAAAATTTATGGTTCTTTCTTGACTCAAGGCTGATTATTTCTGATTTCATTTACGTTGTGGAAGGGGTTGCCATAATTTTTGATGCCTGAAAGGCTTAAGCCTTCGACAAGACTAGCTGAGGCAGGCTTCTAAGACTATCCAAAATATTCTAGACAATTCCTTATTGTATGACAACGATTATTGGTTTTAGGAAACGGTTGAGTACCCTGAGTCTCCCTCATTACCCCAGCTACGCACTTGGTTTACAACCTATCGGATAAGTCTTATATTTCATGAAATTAAAGCTAACAACTCTGTTAAGAACCATAAAATAAAAAAATTTCAACAAGACAATTTAAAATTAATTTAATTTATTTTCCTTCCTGTAATGTTCAGCTTGTACATCCTGTTCTGTACCACAATTTACTTACATCATGTAAGTTCCTTAAACTTTGTAATAAACCCTATAAAAACATCCCATAAATCATCATTTGAGTTTTTCCAGCCCATATAAGACATCCCCAACAATATGCAACATTATCAAGACAAGTTTCTTGCCAAATTCATTCATTATGTTCTGTTGACATAATTTTTATCTCATAAAACGAGTCAAGCTTGAGTGCATTTTCTAAAAAAACGAATATTAAACTAAATGAGGTGTTTTAAAAAGATATTTGCATAGATGCTTCAAAACCATAAATTTATTGCAATGAGTGGTTAAGCAAATATGCATGAGATATGTAGAACATGCTAAGATATTGGAAAGTTTATTTAAAAGAAGTAGAGAAAGTTTTCCATTTTTCAATAATCATAAATATAAAATTGTGGAAAAAGTTTTTTTTTTCAAGGTAGCAAGAGGAGCATTATGAAGGCATTGCACTATCAGGTTGGAGAGAATAATAATGCAAGAAACAGGACAAGTTTGTTGTGTGTACAAATTGCAGTAAGAAATTATTTTTTGATGATTGTTTGGGGACATTGGCGCTTAATAATTTTTTTGATTCTTTGAAATTTAAATTTGAAAATTTTGAAAAAAAACTTGAAATTTTTTAATTTTTTTATAATTTAAAGTTCTAAAGTTTTAAGATAATTGAAAATTTATTATTTATTATTATTTGAAAATTTTAGAAAAACTTTAAAAATAAAAAATTCAAACCTTTCAGAATTAATAGTTTAAAAAATTATGAAAATCTTGTAAAAACAATAAAATCTGAATTTTAAAATCAATTTAGAATTATTTAAAATTTCATAATTTAAGAATATTTTTCTATTTCAAAATTTTTAAAATATTTTTCAAATTTTAAACATTTTAGATTGTTTTTAAAATTTCAAAATTTTAGATTATTTGCTTTTATTTTAAAATTTTAAAACATTTTAATAATTTAAAATTTTAGATTTTTTTCAATTTGAAAAACTTCAGAATTTGTTGTTCTTTAAAAACTCAAAAAAATTTTAAAACAGTTTTTCAAAATTTTGAATTGATTTTGAATTTTTGATTCATTATTTCTTAAACTGTTTGAAGGAGCGCAAAAAACCTTGGAGGAATTACAATTGAATGAATGTATTTATTGACCCATTCGGGTAGTAAACTTAACTTTAAAAACATAAATCGATAATTGAAAAAAAAATATCAAGTTAAATAATTAATCAATAATATTCGAGAAAATTAAGGAACGTTTATAGTTGAAACTGTAAAAACTTAAAATTCGTTCAAAAATTGCAATAATTCTAAAATTTGTTATCATGTCATCCTTCATCCGCCAAAGTGACTTACTTCCAATTTCAAAAAAATGCATAAAATCTTTATAAAAACAAACTCCATCAAACAAGCAGCAAGCAACATTTTCCTTATTTTTTCTTCATTCTTTTTGCAACAACAAAAGCTGGACAACATCGAGAAAGTGCATGATTCTATAATTTCCTCCATCCCATCACACAAAACACAAATTTTCTTAAGCTTCTTCTTTTTTTTGTTGTTATAAAATTCCATTCAAAAGATGAATAAGAAAGTTCAATTCCCAATGTGCTTTTATTCTCCATCTCGTCACCACACACCAACAATTTTTCAAACAACACAACACACAAAAAAATGACGATGTATAAAATTGCAAATGAAAGTTTTATATGTTTTTCATGCTATTCTTCTTCTATTTTCATTGTCATTTTGTTGTTGCTAAAATAAATAAATTTTATTTATAGTTGAGTCGAGCACATTTCATACAAAGACATGCATATGAGAGTGGGAACAATTTGTCGTTTTTCATGTTGTCTGTCGCTCTATATGTCATTCATATTCTTTATAATATGAGCGAGAGACTCTTATGGAGGAAAAATGACAATAATAGATCGTGTTATTGTTATGGCGCGGGACATGAAGGAGAGAAAATTGTATAATTTTTGGCAACATCTATTGCATAATATTATAGTCTTTCATGATTCATTGTGGCCTTTTTTTCCCATTGTCAACTTGTTAAACTTGTGAGTTTTGAGTTTTAGGTGGATTTGTGTTGCTTCTTTAGCTTTGTTTTGAGTGGAAGTTAATTAAGTTGTGGCTTTTTGAATTTAGTATGCATGGAAAGAGCAGTCGTTCGACTCAAGAGCTTACAAAGCCATTTATTTGATGTATCCTAGTCATACCTTCTAATATGGCTAGAGTACTCGAGGAACCGGCCGCAGTTGTGCTTATTTTTAAGTCATTATTACCAACTGATGAGAATTTCAAAGCTTGGAGTTTAAATAGAAAATGTGATGTTGCTGTGCCACTAAATTAATTGATTCGCATAGCTGCAATTTGATCAAAACTGCTGCAACAATAAAGGAAAAATTAGGTGACAGAGCATGACCGTCAAATTGACGCGTAGCCAGGAAGATCTTGTCCTCTCCTGCATCCAAGCGTTTGAACCGCAACGAGAGCACGGCTCAAAACGCTTAAGGGGAGGAAAAGGGGGGGGGGGGGCAAGACCCTTCTGGCTACGCGCCTGCAGTCAATTTTAATCTGACTCCGAGTGCTGCTATTGTTGAGACATTCCTATAGTAACAAGGCTAAATCTAACTTCTCTTAACAGGGACGTAGCCAGAAATTTGTAGAGGGGGGGGGGGGCAAAAAAATTTTACATCGAAAATTGAGAGGGGATTTTTTTCATAAAACTTTTAGCAAAACGAAGAAATTTCTGTTAACGTCGGGGGATTTGTCCCCCAAATCCCCCCCCACCCCCTTGTTATGCGCCTGTTCCCTAATATTGCTATTCTGACGAACTCTTAGAATATTCCTCAATCATTAAAAACCAACTTTAAGTAACAAACTTTAAGACACAAAACAAACTCAAGATTAAAAAAAATTCTCAAGAACTCTCATCAAATATTCAACTTTATCTCTAAGTTCATTCATTGCAAGCTTTATTCAAAAGCCTTTTTTTTGTATTTTCTCGTCTTGTAAACAGCTCTGTGGTTTGATCTGTTAATTAAAATTTTTTTTCTTCATTACATACAAAATGAATACAAAAGTCTTTCCGTATTGAAATGAAGTTGTCATCCTAATTAAATTGAAACAAGTTTCAGTTAATTAAGACTACGAGGAAAGAAAGGTTTTCATGCTTCCATGTTAGCTATTGATGCTGTACTTAACAAATCCATTTGTTTAACATACCGCAGTTGTTTTTATAGGAATTGGGAAATTTTGTGCTTCAAAAAGATTGTAAAGTTGTGTGTGTGTGTGTGTGAACTTTATAGCGACAAATTTAAGTTAATTGTTGAATTTTAAAGCGCACATGTGACTATATATTTTTAACGAGAGGCTAGAGAGGTTGCTGAAAAAGAATGTCAGGATGTCAAGATGCCTTAGCCTCGTGCTTACTCACTGGCAATCAAAATAACGGTTTTTCAATTCATACAGCTTTTCAAACTATTATAAGCTCACCTAAAATTAAACAACTTAAAGCTTCAGCTCCACGAGCTTCAATAAAAATTTAATAAATTATCTCAAGCATTATAAAATATTGAAACATATTTTTTGCTCTGTGTCGAACAAAAGAAGCAACATTTAAATTAAAAATTCACAATGAGTAAGCTGTTGTGTCTGCTTTTGCTTCTTATGTCGATTTCATTTGTTATTCAACAACGCAATCATTTATTTCCTTCCTTTTGAATAGATTCATATAATTCTTATGCTAATTTTTCCCTCCATTATTCTCTTTCTTGTACTTTTAAAATGAGAGATGAAAAAAAATGGGTTCTCGGTACAGAAGCTTGTCAAGTTTCAAGCTGTATAAGAATTCAAGATATTTTTGATCTCTTTATCGTGAAAATTTATTTATGGATTTAATTAATTCTGCTTTTGTTCTCTCTCTTCTTGCTTTTTAATTAGTCTTTTGATTTTAAATTGTTTAATTCCGATAACTATTGTCGAGCTGATTAAATATTGGTGATTTCTTTTAGGAATTGGAATTTTATATTAATGTTTAATTTTAAAGACTTTGCTAGACTTAATTATGTTAAACATATAAAGGACATTTATCTAAATGAGCTAGTATCCTCGGTGGCTTGAGAGTGAGAGTTCACTAAAAACCAAAAGTTGTGGGTTCGAATCTTAAGCATAATCAATATTAAAAATTGTAATTTTCCTTGTTCGAATCTTAATAGATCTGGGTCATATCAAAGTCAGATCAATGCTAGAATTCTTTGTAAGATCAGAGACATGTCAGAGTCAAGTCAGTGTCAAGTCAGAGTCAAGTCAGCGTCAAGTCAGCGTCAAGTCAGAGTCAAGTTAGAGTCAAGTCAGAGTCAAGTCAGCGTCAAGTCAGCGTCAAGTCAGAGTCAAGTCAGAGGCAAGTCAGCGTCAAGTCAGAGTCAAGTCAGAGTCAAGTCAGAGTCAAGTCATAGTCAAGTCATAGTCAAGTCATAGTCAAGTCATAGTCAAGTCATAGTCAAGTCATAGTCAAGTCAGAGTCAAGTCAGAGTCAAGTCAGAGTCAAGTCAGAGTCAAGTTTGAGAAATCCTAAGTTGGTCTAATACAAATCGTAGTTTTTCAGTAACATTCGTATCCCAAATGCAACCCATGATTAATTTGAGATGTCAAAAAAGCTTCAAACCTCAATCTCAGTTTACTTCAAGATTTTAATGCTAGTCGTCAAAAATGAATGAATCCCAATCACTTTTCCTACTAATAATAAATCTCACAAACCTTTAATATTTAAACATCATCAAGATTTATACCACAATATTCTTAAACCCATTCCAAAAAATTGTAATCAATCATACCTTTAAAATTCACATCTGCAGATCCAACAAAACAAATTTTCATTGACAGCACTTAAAGCTATTCTGCCTTAAAATTTATGCTCATAGCATGACTTTATTTTTTTTTATTCCAAACCTCCTTTTCACTCTGATAATCCCCTTTTTGCTATCAATATACTTGACATCTATGTATCTAGATTTGATATTTTTGTTAGCATCTTACCACCTTAAGGTTTGTCTATATAATCTACAATACTTATTAAATAAGAAGAGCTCGAATAAGCAGAAAAAGGTAAGATATTTTATAATAACATATCAACTGAGTAAGATGTTTTTTTTTGTGTCTGGACCTTTTGCTACTCTCCTGTATCAACCCTCTTGTCTATCATCCTGTCTCCTTCTTACTCACTTATTACTTTTATTGTTATTATTCCACTTCCGATACTTTCTTTTTTTTTTTATCAAAACTTACTGCTTAACATTCGATTTTATTGAAATGAAAAATCAATAGAAAGGGTCAAAAAAAGTGGAAGAGATGGCAAAAAAATGTCAGAAAACGATCAGCAATAATATCAGAATGAGAAAGTATAAGAAAGTGTTAGTGAACATCTGTGAAATTTCGTTTTATTCACGATAGCCTTTTTACTCTTTTTTTCTCGTGCTCGACAGTACTCAACATTTTTTTATATCCTCAGGCATGAATATAAATGTGATGTGATGTGTGCCAGAGGATTTTTTAGTTGGGTTTCTTCTGTTTTGAGGACGGATGAATTTTTTGGATGTTTTCGGCAGGTTTAGGATGATTTTTCTTACATTATTATCTCTAATTAGACAATCGGGAAAAACTTTAATTTTTATGATCCAAATATTAGCTTTATGTACCTCTAATAATATTAATAACCTCAATTTTATTTGACAAGTAGCAAAAAACACTTGGGTTGGATGTGTTGATAAGGACGGTAGAGTCTTTAATATCCCGAACAGACAGAAGGTCTCGAATGATAGAGCTGTCTTTAGTCGATCTCTGAACGGGGCAATCACCCACGTGCGCCACAGCCAAGGATGTAAAAAAATAAGTAAGTAGCTTTTAAGTGACTGCCATGTCAATGTAACCTAATTCTAAGTCTATAGTCTACTTGATCATTTGCGGATAGCAGTTGAATATTTGCCCCTTGATAGCTCGGTAGACTTGCCCATAGCTCAGACCTATCTTTTCATAACCTTCAAAAATCAGTCCTATTAGCACACCATTCATTATGATATATTTGCTAAAATATTCACGAAGTAGACAGCTTTTTTTCATGCAAATGTTAAATCTAAGCATTATTTAAAACCATATTGTCATCAGTATATAACTGTATACATTCTCTCCTTCCGTTTCCTTATGTGTATTCATATATATATATTCTTTATACCTCTTTACTCTCATCATGTGTTCATTTGTACTGATAAACATAAAAAAGGAGAAGTCGAGGAAAAAGGAAGTTTATTTTCCTCTCCAGCAACAACAATAGAAATTGTAGGATAAATAAATCTACAAAAAATAAGTAAAAAATGTTGATGGATAAAAAATAATATTTTAACAAGTTTGAAAGGCTATTGACGATGAGCAGCGTGAGCACAGCTTGAATTTTTTCTATGGGGCTCAGACCCTCCTGACTATCAATGACTTTAAGGCTCAAAATTTCCAAAATTTTTGAGGTTAAGAATTCAGAATATAAAGATGAGTTTTTCTGCTCAACCGTCAGAAAAAGAAGACAAAACGACATAAAAATGTTACAGACACATATCACAGATGAACAGTCATTTTCTGTTATTTTTATGAGAAGCACTAAAAACAAAACAACAGCAAAAAAAATTGAATTTCATGTTCTTTTAGATGATTTTATATGATGATGAAAATTTCTCATCTTATTATCCTTCACATGATAAGCTTCCTGTCAGGGGTTTGAATTTTGGGGGCATTTTGTAAAGGATTCACATTAAAGGAGGTAAGCTTAGTGTAAGAGCAATGAGATTCTGTTGTTTTTGACTTCCTCATCCACTCTTTGCTGTTACTAATTAAATCAGTGTTTTCCAAAATTTTTGAGCCACGGCACACCTTAGGAATAAGCCCTAAGCAACGCAGCATGCGGCTAGTGTCATTTTCAAATTTTTTTTACAGCACTACGACACTAGTGTGCTGCGGCACATAGTTTGGATAACATTGAATTAAATGATCTGTCTCTGAGATTGAAGTTACTAATTTAGAGTATGGGAACCGGCCAAACTGTACGAGAATGACCGAGATGACTAGAATTAGCATGCATCTACATTTAGGAACCACAATTGCTCATCGAGTTGGAGGGGGCTAGTCCCACCAAAAAAGCACCCCATTTCCCATCTTTTAGAAACTTAACCACTAGAAAATAATCAGCAAACTTCCAAAACCTCTTAAAATCCACACCACATCCCTGCCTACCCATTTACAATGATCATCCAAGGCGTACATTTTGAAGTACAGCAAATATTTTTCAAAAATTCTTTCATTTTTTGTGTGTGTTATGCTACACAACAGCTAGTAATAGAATACGAGGAGGAGATGAGAGTAGGAAGAAGCATCTATCAAGAAAATGAGAGAAAGCATGAAGACTGAAAAGGATACGAAGATAAGTGAAAGAAAACACCTAAAGTAAAACGGCAAACATAGGATAAAAAGAAGTAAAGCTTTTTCATTCAATATTTGCAAGATGATATATTTACGCGAATGTTTCTGACAATAGATAACATGTTGACAATGGAAATCATTCGCTATTACAAGCTCTTTCATTCTTCTTCCATCTATTCTGCTTTTGTGTATGATACCTTCATTAAATAGAATACAGCATGTATAAGAATGCTACATATCATGTTTGCTGATATCATTCCTACAAGATATATCAAAATTTTATTTATTTTCTTCTATTTCACACACACACACATAAATTTTATTGTACTGAGGATGATGAATTGTTTGTGAATTTGACACATATAAACTTCTTTTCCAACAAAATTTTCAAATATTTAAGGACAGACGAGGAAGTTGTTTTGATGGAATATTGAATATTAAAGGATATTTTTTAAATTCCATAAAGTTGACAGAAAATCCTTCAGACATTAAATTTGGTCCACGACCTTACCCATCCATTCACAATCTACATCCAACAAAAATTCTAAATTGTTCTTTAAATTTAAAAACAATTTTTCACACCAAACAGCTTTCTTCTTGTTCAACATCTCATCACTCTGTCGTCAGTTCAAATGTCACACCTGCCAAGCATTGCAAACAATAAAACAACGCGCAAAAGTCAGCACATTTCGCAGGATGTAAATGTAAACGACATGAAGAAGCTTTATGTCATCATTTTTATGTACTTTTTTTTTTTTCATTTATTTGTCTCTCGCACCTGCACACGTAATGGTAATTTTAACAAGTTTCTGACTTTTTGGATTGTTAAATGTTTAGATTGGACTTTTCCTGTTGTGTAGGATTGAAATTGGGATTGTTGGTGAGTGATTTGGATCAGAAAATGAAGTTTTGGGATTTTAATTGTTTATTATTTACAAAATTTTTGTCAGAAAGTGTCAAGCAGGTTGCTGCAGAGGCTGATCGAGGTGTCAGGGCATTAAATCCTGCAGATATTGAAAATCTAAAACCCAAAAAATGTAAAACCCCTCAAATGGGTCATACTCCCCTCGAAAAATGTTAAACTACACCCCAGAGCTCGAAGTCGGGTTTTTTCGAGTCGATTCAACGTTTCTTGAATCGACTAGAAGTCGAGTCAACTCGAGTCGACTCGAACCCTATCGACTTCTAGTTCTGCTACACCCCTCTCAAAGTCCAGATATGTTACCACCCACTTCTCCCAAAACTACAAAATAGAAAATACTAAAAGCTTGAAAACTTTTTCTGTTTCTGTTTCATTTTTCCATTAAAAGATTAAAAACCTGTTGTAGACATAAATCGAAACCAACAAGAGCTTTTCAATGTGCTGTTCATGAAAAGAACTGAAAATTTTAATATCCAATATTATATTCTCTTTCTTGACTTTACTCTCGAGTAATATCAATTGAACTTTATTTTTTTAACTGTAAGGCATGAAGCATACATTGAATGTCCAGATCCAGAAAAGTTATTTCATAAAAGTCAAATTCGTTCCAAGGGCCGTTCACTTATGACGTCCGACATTTAGGGGGGGGGGGAGGGTAGCTGGGGAGGGGGGTCTAGGATTTTGTGACAGTTCAAACAATGGAAATTTTTTTCTCTAGAATTTTTGTGGCAGAGGGGGGAGGGGTGGGGTCTAAAAATCAGGTTTTTGATGGACGTTATAAGTGAATGACTCCAAAGTGAGATAATTTTTACGTCAACTGTCGCCTTAAGTTCTTCTTTTTCGTTAGATTTTCAAAGTCTGGATATGAGAATTGAGAGTTTTGTGGTTTATTTGAGTCAAGGGTGCGGTAAAAATAATCAAAATGAAATTTATCAGTTCCGCACCCTTAATTTGAGTATAATGATTGTTCAGACATCATATGATGCTTATAAAAGAATTGAAGAGTCCCCTGGACATGCTGAAACCATGATTCTGGAGAAAATTGTTAACACAGATAGTATTGGAAATTGAAGCTCGCATTTGAGACATCTAATGACTTCAAACGAGTAAATTAACAGAACACAGTTGCATTTAGTTACCACATTCCTGGATCTCTGCTCATGACTTTTTATAAATTGACTACAAAGCTATTCTCTCGGAGTTGACATCTCTAGGCCATACATTGTTCAAATCAACCCAATTTTCCATTTCATCAACAATTTAGTCCAAAATACTTCACTTGCAATCACTGCTGACCACATAGCAATAATGAAATCTCTCTTACATGACTGACATCATTGCAAATAATCTACTTAAAAAATGTTGCACAATACGAAAATTGAATTTCCGTCTCGAGCATAAACAAGTCAACAAACAAATTGTATCTTACCATTGAGTACATGAACGAGTACAGTATATTGTTGTGATTCACCTATTGAACATGTGTAATTGCCTGCATCGGTTGTATTGACTTTAGCCACAAGGAGAGTTGAGTTTGCTCCAATTTCCATCAAGTCAGTCCGGACACTGAAATTAAGAGAGAGATACATTTTAGGCACTGACCAAAACAATTATATATCTGTCGTTCACAATGACAAAATTCCCAAAAAAAAACAGCATGCAATCATAACAAATTTCAATTCTCAACGGAGGTGTTAATGAAAAGTTTTTTAATTAAATTCCCATCCATGACTGCCATTCTATACATAAATATAGAATTGTCAGCACCAAAAAAATACCAACCTTATGCCGCCTCTCGTCACATCATAATTTAATATCGAATTATTGTTGTGTATCCAAAACACTACCGACGACATCATCGAAATGTGCCGAACAATACATGTCAATTGAATTGTCGAATCAACTTCATAATATTTATCGAGTAGCGGTATGCCTTGCTCATCTACAATAAATATTGTTGGTGCTGAAATGAAATCAAAATGAGATAAAAGAAATATGAGATTCCTGCTGCTTATATATTTATATATTTATTGTTATCTAAAGTGTACAAACAAAATTTATTGCTGCTACACATATCGAGGGTTATGGATGTGAAAGCTACAAAGTAAAAGTTTGTACATGTTATGAGAAAGTTGCGGTCAACTTTTTGAACTGCCACAGCGCATAAATTCAAGCATGTGAGTGATTTATAGGAATTTTAATGTGAGATGTTGTGGACTGAAATGAAGAGTGGGGACTTGTCAGCTTGGTTCTTGAGATACTGAGGGATTTTAAGGTTGTAGCAATGTGAATTGATGCTTTCGGGAATTCGGGATATTTTTTTAAATTTATAAGTTTATAAGACCATCTAATTTTTATGAAAATACAGGACATTTGATAAATTTCCCAAAAAATACAGGACACAAAGGAAATCAAATTTATACAGGACTGTCCGTTGTAAAACTACGCAGATGGTCACCCTATTTATAAGGCAACTCGTAAGTTTAATTATTAAGCTAAGAAGCGTTAAAGACACATTTTGAGCTTGAAATGATGAAATTTTGTACGGATTCGAATCTAGGTGGTATTGAGTAGGAGGGATGTGTTCAAAGAAGTAAGTGATATAGACATGGAAGACTAATGACTCATAATTCATGGTTTAAGCAATGTTCTTAACAAACCTAGGGTCCTCAATCAATTCTTCAACACCCCCAAAAAGATAAATGAAAAAGACCAAACCTTTTTGAGCTAAGGGCACTGCTACTCAATTAGAACAGAATCTTTAATGCCAAACTCAATAGATCTACAGTTTGACTAAAATCTGAACCTCTTCAACACTTCTCCCTCCATCCCACCCCCAAAGTATTCACAATTTTGTTAATATTGCTGAAATAAAAAGCTGCGGTATTTACTTGACTTTACAGAATGCTTCATAATTCCATCCAGTTATTCTTCTTCTTCCTTATTCACTACATGATTGGTTTATCCTTTCAGTTTTGTTTTTTATTTTATTTTCAGAATTCCCACAACCAATACACAAATGTAATAAAGTTGTGATGAAAAAAAAAATAATTCGATCAAAAAGTAAAAATAGTTTGCAGTTCTTGTTCTTTATTTTCTACCCACTGAGTGTGCTCATTCGATGTAATAATGTTTATGTAAGCTTTAAAAAATAATATGAACAGGAAAAATTTGTTATGAACATGAAGCTAGCGATGGCTTGTCCTGAGGAAAGTTAACAAAAATTGGAAGATTTTGTTTTGTTTTAATATTTTTTAATTTAGCGAAGTTAAGGCAAAATACTGTTATTGAGCAGGATGCTGCTGTTAAAGACAATTTTGTGGAATGGAAACCTTCGAGGAATTTGAAGAATGAGGAACAATTTTTAATTTTTTTTTTGATGACAAAGGTAACTTCCTCGTCCTCATTCATGCTAAAAAATGACCTTGTTCAAACATTGAGTCAAGTATGTTGCATCTAAGCAGAGGGCGAAGTCGACTCGAAATTTGTATGAAGTCGAGTGAACTAAAGTCGACTTTTCCATACAAAATCCGAGTCGACTTCGCCCTCTGCATCTAAGTATTAATTGTTGAGACCGACTCTCAGAACTTTTTACTCTGGGTTCAAAAATTGATGTGCAAGTAACATCCTTGATAAGACTTTTCCTAAAATGAGGACAGATGAGGTCTGCTAAGGTACCCAAAAATACAAAAAAAAAAATTATTTTTCTTAAAATAAATCAATTTTCATTTGCCTTACTGCCTTTTTTATTTAAAATTCCACAACAAAGTAAAAATCATGCGTGGGATATTGTCATAAAAATTCTCGTAAATCGCTCCTATACCATGCAAAAACATTCCTTTGCCAAGCAAATTAATTTAAAAGCTTCACAATTAAATTATTTCCGGAAAGATAAATTCAAATAAAATGTTGGCGCTGTAAATCAAATATTTGACCAATGGTTTTCATTGTGTATTTTTTTATTTGATGAAATATTGTCATTTATTTGCTGTTCAATCGCTCAAATAAACGCCAGCATGAGTGAAAAGTTTATCAGAATGTAGCTATTAAATTAATTTTCCATTATTTCAAATCAATTGTTCCATTTACACTCAAGCTGACAAAAACATTTTTGTGAATATCGATCAATTATCCAAAAATGTCCATCAATTTAGTTTAAAATTTTGTGTGTAAAATGAGATTTATTGTAACTTCTCATGCCTCACATTCGACAATGTCATTGCTAATTTAATTTTCATTTTGTCACACGAAAGAGTTTGGGTGTCATGCTACATTTCGCCAGTTTTACGATGTATGTTAAACAAGGCAAAAACTTGTACATTGATATTACTGTGCTGTATATTACATGCTCCTCGATAGTTGGATAATTTATGTTTTGTACAGCAAAAATGAATAGAGTTGGAGACATTGGAAGAGTATATATTGTGGGAAGCGGTAGGAAAAAATTTATCTATGAAGGTTTTACGGACGATTTACGATATTAGCGCGGTTTACTCATTGTGAGAATTTTTAAGAGCATTGAAAATCAGGGTTTTTGAGGATCATTCTAAATCAGTGCTACTAGTTTGAGTATTGAAATTTTAGAGCCTTCACTATTCACCATCATTATTATGTTACAAATGCACGCTATAATCTTGCTCCATCCTAGCTCCTTGTAAGCTGCATTGAAGCAACATATAAGCTACACCATCTAAACATTCAAGCAACATCCAAGATACATTTAAACAATATCCAAGCTACATCCTAGCTACATTCAAGCTACATATAAGCTCCATTCTATTAAAATCCAAACTACATGCAAGCAACATCCAAACTAAGTGTAAACAACATTCAAACTACATGCAAGCAACATCCAAACTACATGTAAGCAACATCCAAACTATATGCAAGCAACATCCAAACTACATGTAAGCAACATCCAAACTACATGTAAGCAACATCCAAACTATATGCAAGCAACATCCAAACTATATGCAAGCAACATCCAAACTACATGTAAGCAACATCCAAACTACATGTAAGCAACATCCAAACTATATGCAAGCAACATCCAAACTACATGCAAGCAACATCCAAACTACATGTAAGCAACATCCAAACTATATGCAAGCAACATCCAAACTACATGTAAGCAACATCCAAACTACATGTAAGCAACATCCAAACTACATGTAAGCAACATCCAAACTATATGCAAGCAACATCCAAACTACATGTAAGCAACATCCAAACTACATGTAAGCAACATCCAAACTATATACAAGCAACATCCAAACTACATGTAAGCAACATTTATACTACATGCAAGCAACATCCAAACTACATGCAAGCAACATCCAAACTACATGCAAGCAACTTCCGAACTACATGCAAGCAACATCCAAACTACATGTAAGCAACATCCAAACTATATGCAAGCACATACAAACTACATGTAAGCAACATCCAAACTATATGCAAGCAACATGCAAGCAACATTCAAACTACATGCGACCATTATATGTATAAGCAACATCCAAGCTACTTCTATGCTCCATCCAAGGATCATTCCAGCTACATTCAAGCAATATTCTACCTACAACCAAGCTACATCGCCAGTTCACGAGAAAACCCCCCCTCAAATCCATAATAGTTCGCATAAGTTCAATAAATTATATGAACACTACTATTGAGATAAATTAATGGTAAAAGTTTTTTTTAAAAAGGCATAAAACAATGAAACTGTTTCTCATTATAAGCAGTAGCACGATTAAATGGCTTAATTTTGCTCAGCAATAAATTAATTAAAGTGGTATGTATTGAGGCATGAATCTCAACGAGACAATTTTAGTTCAGCTCTTTTTGCATCTTCTTCACTTGGTCTTAATGGACTCATTAGAATCTAACACGACGACATTTATGTTCATTTGTAAGATCTTTCTTTCCATTATCCAATTCGGTCTTCTTATTATTTCTTATAAATGAAGATGAAAATGGAAGATGAAGCAACAAAATAAAAAGCAAAAGAGAGGGACAAATTTCCATTTCAGTTGTAAATGATGATGATTATAATGCTTTTGATTATGTTTTGTTCCTATTCATGATCAACATCATTTTCTTCTAAATGGTGTTTTTTGGGATGTGACGAACAATGAGAGCGTGGACATTTTTATGTTTTTGAATCTTTGGTGTACGAACTTAGTATGGCAGTGGTGGACAACCTTTTTTGCACAACGGCACTGAAGGTTAGTCAAGAGTCATGACCAAAACTATACGAATTGTGGGATTTCTTGAAATTTTTGAACTAGTGTGCCGCGGCACTTGGGTTGGACACCACTGTTGTATGGAATTAGGAAGATTTAATTGAAAATCAGAGTGTTTAGTAAGACGTTGTAGTGATGATTATGGTGTAATGTGCCTAGCTGTATCTACGATTTAATTTACTGAGAATTATTTAAACTGCTAATTTTTTTAAGACACACTAAATCGTTATTTTTACTTATCATACCAAATATTGATCTAAGGTTGGGAGTACTCGATGGACTTAAAAATGGGGCTGGTTCCTAGGGTCTAGTCAGATTTTATTTTTACCTAAAGAGTAACACATTAATTTTCATTCCTAGTTAAGGATTCCCTGAGTAGCCACCAGGGTAGCCACAGAAACCGGTTCCTGACGACATCCTGATACCACAAATTGCAAGAATATCAATCCAATAAAGTCACGTTATTTTACTCAAACGAAAACATTTAAAATTGATAATATTTTAAATATTCGATTCCCACAAGTTTGCCAACATCAAACACAAAATAATTCAAACAAATTGAAATATTTCTCCAGAAAACTTTCTCGTTCAGCCAGCACCCAAACTTCATTAGTAAACATAAAATTATAAGCTCTAACACAAAAAAAAACTTTTTCATATTTGAAATGCGATTAAAATTTGAATTTTCAATTATATTCTTGCGTTTGACATATTGCTGTTG